TCGACGATAGTTGAAAATCTTCCTTGCCTGCCATTGCACATAACACTTTGCCATTACCCTGTGCCTTTCACAACCCTGCATGCACGATACATACTCATTGAGCTTATTCCAGTTACCCATCAATTTTCTTTCCGCTGCCTGAATTTCCTGCAGGATGACGTCTACATTCGCTGCTGCGAACATTTGAGCATAGCGTGCCCGGGTCTCTTCTTCCAAACGACACTGTCTGCCATGCATGACATCCACAAGATTGCGGGTAAAGCGAGCCTCATGTGGTGAATTTGGAGGAGGAGGGGAATCGTACGGTGGTGGTTTGTCCCACTGGAATACATCGGACTCGTCAATCAACTCCGACCCAGAATATGCTTGTTGGAACAGAAATGAGTCGGGCAAGGGAAGCGCTGCCAGTGCGATGAGAGATTGGGGAAGTGGTTTTGTATTGCTGAGGGATCCAGAAGTATTGGTCCTCTTCCGTCCACGGAGTTTGGCATTAGCACGAGCATTTTGCATTCGTCGAGCAGCTTTTCCCCTGTAGTTTGTTAAACAATCAGCACAGAAAGATCAATAGAGGGAGTCACCGTTCTGTCCTTGAGTATGAAATCTTCTGTTGGCGTAAGGCAGCGTTTTTCTCCTCAAGTGTGAAGTATTTTGCTCTACGACCCATTGGTTCAGTGTAAAGTACTACAAAGCAATGTAAAGTACTTAGTACGACATCACACATTAATTGCTACTGGTTGTATTGCAGCATATTTCACTGCCCATACTCCTTAGTTCTCTTATACTAAGGTGAAAGCGCACTCCATGAGAGTTATCTGAGCTTGTTTCAAACGATATTGGAGCACTGTAAGGCGCTGCATTTGTCTTTCAACTGTAGCACGAATTGTATTCACAATGTGATTGGCTCTAAACACTCTCGGAGGCCCCCGAGGCTCAGCGCTCAGCGTTGACACATCACCCTCAACATCACCCTCAACATCACCCTCGTGAGCCTCTAACATTGTGCGCGGGCCTCCATTACAGCATTTGCGTCAGTGAAAATTTAAATTGTTCTATCAAAGATCCTTGCTTCTTTCATATCGTAAGTAGTATGATACGTTTCAGCATTGTGATTGGTCTTAAGTTTCCTACTCGTCTGCAGACCACCAGACCCCCTGCATTGAAGGTTACCGTGGCGCCTCTCCCCCTCTAGCCACGATATCTGCGAGCCTCTATTACAGCATAGGTGCATCCCTATTTCAAATGTCCGCTGGTTTTACTGACTTTAGCATAACATGTATCTCAATGGAATCATTCCATTCATGTAGGATTAAAACTCCCTGCGCGCAGGAATTTAAACTCCTTGCAATAAAATTAAAATGCTTGCTCTTAAGATCGAGGTAGGTTCTATTGTTCCTCCCCCCTTCACCTTCCTCAAAATCTGACCGTCTCTGAAGGCTAGATTGTGCACTTCCGCTCTGGCAATATCCTTCATCTCTGAATCAACACTCAGACCATCAGCAGCTTTGAACGTACAGTCCCTCCAGACCGATGTAAGTCGTTACAGCATTGATCTTTGAAACCATACTGACATACATCCAGTGTCTACCAATTTTTTTCGCCCGCTTCGATTTTTTTTTTCGGTGGTACGTCCAGTTGCTCCTCACTTTGTTCAATTCTCCTTTACTAACACACTACCCGCTACCCACTCAGCATTCTTGCCCTTTTCTGCTCTCAATTTTCACCATCAAATATCAACGGTGCTCAACTCTGTATGTTCATCCTACAGCAACCTTGCAGCGCATCTGACAATCCCACAGCTATGACTCATACATTCAACGACTACTCATTCCCCCTCGAACCAAACGTGCCACCCCCTCAAAGTTATAGCACCTCGTCTCAATCTATGCATCTTTCTCCCGGCGGAGATTATATTCAGGAACAGTATGGTGGAGGGCGTTGTTCCAAGAGCCCTCTAGTGGAGTTAACTCCTACCAGACTTCGGAGTAGGATCAAGGCTACGCAGCGCGATGTTGGCATAGTCAAAGAGGCTGCCATCTGGCGTCAGGAAAGCTCATTCTCACCCAACACTCTAACCAGTCCCTCAGCGCCCCCAGAATCTGCACCTCCGCATCCTATCCACGATAACAGTGTTGTGGGAGGTGATGCATCGTCTGCTCTTCCTCAGGGCAATATTCGACATACATCTCCACATCCCCATGCTCCCGAGCCTCCACGTCCTGCACCTCTACAGGACATGTTTTACAATCCCATAGAGGCACAATCCAGCGGATGGTTGGCGCAGCAATCTCATTCCTTTGGAGTGATGGATGATGCATCGTTCACGGCACTGCTCATGGAGACGCAGGAACATTTTATGTCTTCTGATGTTGGCTCGGATTTTGCTAACCAGCCACCCTCCTTACATGCACCCTCTTGTGACCCTCCGGTACCTCAAAGTGTTGGAGGAAGTTCTAGCCAGATCGCACCTATGATTACCAATATCATCCCACCAACACCGCTGAAGGATGCTGGCCCCCCTCCTCGTGCCTCCCTGCATGAGCGTGGTGCTTTCATCGATACTGGAAATGTCGATGACTTGCTCTCTAATCCTCGGGACAGCAAAGATGCGCCTGCCTCGACATCAGGCCAGTCATTTGTCCCTGGACGGAAGTCTGCTGACACCAGTTCAATCCTCGAAGCTGCTTTCGTCGAGATTGAGCAATCATTCCTCGAGCTCTCAGGGTCGACATCAATTCCCGTACAGCAAGTCATCAACTGGTTTTTGAAAAGTCGAGGTCGGACGACAGTCAGCACTAACTTCTGGAATCTATACGCTCGCAGTTACTTCAAGGATCACACAGAGCAAGAACTTGCACGAGTTGGACTTAAGCTTCCGGCAGATGGAGGCTCTCCGGGTAAGTTATGATCATATATGTTGATGCGGTACTTACGGTTCCATCGTGAATTTTAGGTATGTCGATTCGGACGAAATGCTATGACCTCTTCAAAGAGGCTTTTCCAGACACATACAAAGATATTCTCTCCGTCCACGATGAGGTAACGATCCTATCCGCCACCCCTCAAACAGTCTCTCAGCGTGGACAAGAGTTTCAAAAATACTACCGAAGGATGTTTAGCATCGTAAGTATACTTCCCTGGCGTCTCGCTGCTCGCTGTGCCCTGATTGTCTTTCATTATAGGCTGATGGCACTGCTGCTAAATTTGGGTTTGAGACCGCAATGGTCATCTGTGGTGGAATTGTCAATCAAGATGCCTCCCTCGGTCAAGTTCATACTACACCAGGCGCTGCAGACGTAAGTATCTTGAGAGTGATATTCAACACTTTGATCGCTAATGCTGGTTTGCTAGTTCTGGAGTATGCGATGCCGAGCTGATGGTGACACCATCATCGGTCACCTCAAAGCTCATGTCTAGTAAGTCTCATTCTGCGTCTTACCATTATCTTTTTCTTACTCATCTTCCAAACAGTAATAAAAGTTCACTGGCAGTGGTAGAAGATGCCTTCGATGACTTGCCTGAAGATGACGAAGAAGCCTCTTCTAAGGATGCTGACCCGATTCCTTCAACTGAAGTTGAGGGTCGTGAGGAATCTCTCCGGTGGCTCAAGAGAGAAATCGCGAAACGAGTCAGTAAGTAGCTATTCTAGTTCTTTTCGGTTCAGTCTGACATGCTCGTTTAGCTGACCTTGGCGGGAAGTTTGCATCTGATAAGAATTTCCCCTGGAAAACGATGCCAAGCTCCTTAGCATCTGGCGGCCTGAACATTGAAGGGTACCCTGCGCACAAGTGCCTCATGCCGGGTGAATCTCATGATCCGACGTCCAAAAACAACAAGGGGATAGGTGTATTGACGTATAAAGAGGTTGCAGCACTTGTTGATGCTTACAAGGCTGGCACTATGCGCGTGGTTAAGTCTTCCCATACACACAGTAAGTTTTGTCTCTATTCAGTAGCCCAATTTTAACAATGTTTTCGTAGTGTCCTTGATCGAATCAAAAATGCCAGTTATCATCGGGGAAGCTCCTCCGTCCACCTGGGAGTACCCATGTGCTCGTCGCATGTTTGCTGATCGGCATACAGATTATAGTGGCCCGGTGTAGAAACAACAATACTGAGAGGAACAAAGAAATGCTCCTGACTGTATCTAAAAAGTTGTAGGTCGTGCGTTGCCTAGTCTGCGATACTTGAGATGGCAAGTGTATTCGACCCTAAAGGGGAAGCAGGTGCAGCGGAGATCTAGAGGTACGCGCTTCAGCGAAGCGCGAGAAAGCGCAGGTGCGCGCAAGGTACGAAGGCGCGGGAACGCGCGCGCGTATTAGCGCGAAGCGCGGGAAAGCGCGCGCGTGTAAGCGGAAATAAGAGAGACTAAACTTATGTGAAGATATAAGCAAGATAAAGGATGTGAGATGTGTTGTGCTAATGAATAGATTTCTACTGCGACTTTCTAAGTAGTAAGTACTAGGTAAAGTTGGGTGAAAAGTAAGGTGTGAAAGGTAAGTAATAGTATGTACTGCTGGCGCTTATATAGCGCGCCTAAGCGCGGTCATGCGGAGCCGAAGCGCTACCGAGTAGGTATGTAAATATATATATGAGTGAGAAAACATGATAAAAATAAAGATGGAACACTATGCTAATAAAGGAAATGGAAATATACGCACTAGGGAGCTTGGTGGACAGTGGATGGATGCATCTGGATGGCTGGCGCTATAGGGCGCACAAGCGCGGGAACGCGCGCGCGCGTATACATCGTGAAGCGCGGGAATGGTGCGCGCATGGCGCGCGTTGCGCGGGAAAGCTGCGCGTCATATAGGAATCACTGTGGATGGTACACAGAGTGATGCTGCGAGTTGGTGCTGTATACTCCCTAGTGTAAAGTGCCATATCACACTATGAGATGCACAAGTCTCTACACCGGATCGCGTGGGGACAAGCGCCGCACAGACCAGACTCAAAAAAAATAAGGCATCAAAAGCTCGTGATTTTGAGCATCCAGAGGGGGTCATGTATCCTCGCCTTTCTGCTCATCCCATTAAGTTCGTTGCCAACGGCATTGCTAGGCCACCCCCTCCTTCTCGTCCCTTTAAGGTCGTTGCTAGGCCCATTACCAACCAACAAACTCCCCCTCCCGCTCGTCCCTTTCAGGCCGCTGTTAAGTCAGCTGTGCCAATGGCTTCTAAGGCTGCCATGCAGGAAGTCATCGAACTCACATCAGCTTCGGAAGGCTCGAAGGACGCAACAGCAGAGGAACCAGACACTGAATATGAAGATGATTTACGCGGGAATAAACGGAAATTAAAGTCAGGAAATTCCTCCCGGACGTCCAAGAAGCGTGCTTCCTCAGAGGCTATCATTGAACCAAAGAAGGAAGGTGTCCGTTTCAAGGCGAAACCACTGAAACCATCTCCTTCCGATGCCTCTCCATTGAAGGGGGGTCCGCTGTCACCGTTAACAGTGGGGTCTTCTTCAGTTGACGAAGAACGCTCATCTGGCAATGAAGGTTTGTGCTACACGTGTCATATGTCTTTCCTCGCTCACCATCTTATTCAGCTGCCCAGCCAGTTCGACCTGCAATTCGCATCCGGGACGGTACTTCCAAAGTGCAGCCAAAATTCAAGGGTACGTATCTGTTTTTGGATTTACTCGTCACTGACTTGTTTACTACAGCACTCCCAAAACCAAAACGTGTGGCAAAGGAATCACGGACAGCCATGCACCGTGTACACCGAAGGATGTATACGGTCGATTCGGAAGAGGAGGATGCTCCAGGTCGAATTGACTCGGAGGTTACAGCGGATGCTGGAAAAGGTGCTACCACGCTTGCAGACCCTCAGCTCGATGCTGCAGCTCAGCCAGTGAACCCTACCCCGATTACACTGGCCTCTACTACAGAGGACAATGTCTCCGGGCAACCGGAAGTCACGCCCAGTGTGGCTTCACAACCTCAGAGCTCTGAGCCACCCCAACCCTCAAACAGTACGATCCAGACAATGTCTTCCCCTTTCACACCTAGCAACGAGGAGAATGGAAATTCCCAAGCTCGATCTATCAACCATCCATCTTCACGTCCTGCTGGGCAGATGCCCCTTCCACAGCCTGAGCCGCTTCAGACTGATATTCATATCGAGGGAGCCGAACACTATGCACGTTCTCCATTGTTTTCACGTGAGGCTCCCATCCCACGTGAGGCTTCTTTACACATGCACGAGCTTCCCAGTCATCCTCGTGAGCCTTCCGTGCCACTGCGAGAGCCTCTGCTTCGTCCTCGCGAGCCTTCCGTGCCACTGCGAGAGCCTCTGCTCCATCCTCGTGAGCCTTCCGTGCCACTGCGAGAGCCTCTGCCTCATCCTCGTGAGCCTTCTGTGCCATTGCGAGATCGCTCTGTACACCCTCGTGATCACTCTGTGCGCCCTCGTGAGGGACCCTCCTACTCACACGATGATGCTCACTATCGTGATGCACATGACACACTCTATGATCGCAATGGTCCCCCTCGCACCCATCCTCATCCTTCTGGCATCCTCAATCCACATGGCCTTCCACGCACCCGTAATATTGAAGAAGCTCGGTACGGTCGTGCACCCATGGGATTCAATCATCCAGGCTATCCTTCTCGTTACGGCTCGCCTGCTGAAGGATATGACGACCGCTATGATGACCCTAGGTATCCGTCAGACTCCTACTATCAAGACATGCGCAGTCATGACCGGAGGTACTATGGGGATAATAATAGATGGGCAGACCGCCGCTGATACCTACTAACATTTCTCTCTCGCCCTTTTAGTGTAATGACTGTCATTTTGTTACCTCGTGCATTGCCTCAGATTGGATGTAGTACCTCCTTCTGAAAAACTGTTTTAGTGAATTCTTGTATATCACGCCCAGCCAATGTTATGCCCGCAACTTGCAAGCTGCCTCCTGAGTTCTCGTCCCTGATGATAAATTTTTCGTCCAAGAATCCCAATCCCACTGTATCCTGGAGGTTCGCGTGGGGCATGGAATGCAAATAAATTGAATTGCTCTGAACTGTGGTACATGGTTCAAATGTATGAATACTATTATTACAGAGTGGGTGGGGGTGGAGCCTTCGCCAGAGGTGTAGGATGAAGATGGGGTTGCTGAGAATGAGCCAGGGAAGCCTCTCGGGAAGGAAATGTTCATGTTGGACGGCTCATTGACGGATGAGGTCAGTTGAAGTGTTTCGTTTGAAATCAGGTGCTTCAAAAGATTCGGATTAGTGTAAGATGCTGTGGGATGAATGAAAGGAATCATACCAGCCCTTCTCCTTGTCGAGCGTGTCGCCCATGTTCTTTGACAACTTCTTGAATTCATGTTTGAACTGTTTGTGTTGAGCGACAAATGCGAGTTTAAGTGTTGGGTGGGCAGGAAGAGAGTGAAAATTGACTTATGAGTCACTAGGTGGTTCGTCCGGTCTAGTAGGGTCCCATCAAGATGAGGGAAGCAGGAGGTTTCGGTGAGACCAAAACAAACTAAGTGTTGACATCAGCGAAAATGAGCACAAACCGTCGAAGGTGGGGTATAAAATTTATAAAAAAATTCAATTAACAGATGAAAGAATGCATAGTCGAAGGATCGAACTTAAGAGTCTGCCAAAATCACAACACCACTACCACTTCACTACCGTGCCTCTGACTACACAGCGTGCCCATAATATATGAGGGCATTTGGTGTTCCATTACTTCGTCCGTTGATTGTCAACAAGGCCATCGATCATCAACGGAATCAATTATCGATGGGCACACATCTTCTCAATGTGTTATCGATGTCGTTCCTCTACACGCCTCCCTCTTTCTATACCTTCATTGGATTCATGGATTTTACCCAGCTCGACTACATGCTCGAGCGTATGGCATCGCGCTACAAGGTGGACGCGCAGGAGGTGCTGGACAAATGGTTGGAGAAGCGAGAGGTCCGTGATCCTGAGGGATGGAGGCTCCTCGAAGGTATACCTTGCATCGTTGGAGGGTTGACGGCGCTTCTCGGTAAGTGTCACAGTCAGATCATAGTGTAGAACAGCTAAATATGTTACAGGGACCCTCGAAGGACGAGGGGGAAACTTCCCGTGGAAGACCCTACCTACCGTTCTAGCCCATCGTGGCTGTATCCTCGAAAACTACCCAGAAGACGTCCTTATGCCCGGCGAGAGGCGTTCAACCCTTGCAAAGAGCAAGGGTATCCACGACCTCACTATCCATGAGCGCTTCAAACTTGCGAATGCCCTCAAGAATGACGCCCTCACCGTTAAATCGGTTGCAACAGATGCTCGCAAAAGTCTTACGACCTCACGTGTCCCTGTCATTGTTGGAGAAGCGCCCATAGCAAATTCTCTTCACACTCGTGGGCGACGAGGGTTTGCCAATGGACGGATTGATTGGTTTGGCCTGACCCGTCTGGCCAACGCTTCCTCTTCAAAATCTGGCGCCACATCATCTAATCGGCGCAGACTCCGTGTGTTCGTAGAAGTCCCACTTGCGCCACCCTCCTGGAGGTTGAAGGCGATTCAGCAACGTTCACCGGTCATTGAACCCGATCATAGCGACCTTGTCCCAGAGATCACCACTATTAAGGACGGCACTATTCATGATGAAGACGCAGTCAGCAATGCCACTACCGAGGACGAAGGAGAAATAGATGAGCTTTTCAGTTCGCAGCTGCAGGAACAAACATGATCTGTGAGCCTCTCGAGCCTCCCTCTGATGTTCACAAATTAATGTGACCCTCAGGAGCGCCTACTCGACCCTCGCAAACCTCCATTACATCCTCACGAGCCTCCCGTCACGGCATGTACTAATCATTGATATGGCACAGCATTGAGAGGGATAACGAGTGTATTTTCTTCTTCGTGGTTTGGATCTCTTATCGTGTCCGTTTCACGTCCATGTCTTCTTTGAGTTGTTAATGTCTCTGTCCCTTTCACACCAAATATATTGTCTGTCGCACCATCATGATAGTATTGAGATTCACTGTGTTCGAAACATGTGTGATAAAACATATAAACTAACTATTTTAAACAGCGAGGGTGCCGCATGGCCTCGCGTGGTTTATACCTACCCTCGCGAACCTCTGGGAGTACGGAGGCAGTACACTAAGGAAAGGGCATGGACCTCTTGCGGCAATTACAGGGAGCCTCTATGGAGAGGCATACCTCACAGGTGGGTTTGCTGCAACATAGAAACCCCACCTGATAGATCGTGAGACGGGCGCTTAAGTGCTGCCAAGGGTGGTTGCGAGCGACGTGTTCTGTTTGAGTCTGACTCAAATATCTTCCGCTCTCAGCGGGTGTGCTCGGCGTTTGATCATGTTTGCCATGGTCAGTGCGCCTTTCACGTTGTCCTCGAAGATTGGACCAATCTTTATTTCAGGCTCCGTCCTCCTATGGTGGAGCTATGCTTACTTAGCGGGCGACTCCGTGTTAGATTGAGTTTGCCCTCTTTCTAACTCTTCCCGTCGCCTCGCTTGGTGAGCTCGACTAATGTTTTTGAGTGAAAGCTCTTTCTAACTCTTACCGTCGCCTCGCTAGCTAGTTTCGGATCACCCACCACTCCCTCCTGCTTGGTTTTAGTTTAGTGTTCATCCCTTCAGTTTTCGTGTTTTGAAGCTGTGCTGCCGTTTTGAGCTGTATTTCGGTTTTACGCCGTTTTTCCCACGTCGTATTTCTAGTTAACAATTGCAGCGTTGAGGGACCATTTTGGCTATACCGGCGGACGTGCGCCCCCATAAATCGTGCGAGACCCATTAGAAATATTCATTCATGAATTCGGAGTCCGAGGAGTCTATTAATACGATGATGTCATGACCCCACGTGACTGCGGCGTCAATTGGCGGCGACCTTAGCCTGCAAGTTGGCAACCAGCTGTCAGTATCACCCCGCTTCATGCACTGAATGGATCCGGGAGTTCACAAGGAGAAATCAAAGAAAACTGCGGGGAAAATGTGCTGACACGTACAGGAATTTTGTGACTCGGCTGTTGTTTTCACTCTCACTGGCCACAGCTTGATTTTAAATTTAGTGTCAGCCTGAGCTGCCCCAAATCCGACCAGGCGGCTTTGGCGACCTTCAAGCTGGCCTGTCACGACTTGATGTGTAAAGATGAGGTAAAATTCCAGCAATACTCACCGTGGTACGATATCTTTACGCACATGTTCTCCATGAGGAATTTTAATGTGTCAGTATGCAGTACATCCATGTGCGCTAATCAAACTTAGATGATTCAGCGAACGAATGGATCGGAAACTCAGCCCTGTGCACCGCAGAAGAGTCTCGATATTACTACACTGCAGCACTTCACACTGTCTTTACACCCCATGTCCCAGTACTCCACGATGCTTCCGCTTGTTATGTATGATATCGTCTCCAATCTACCGGGTAATCACTTTTCACCCAACCCCGCCAAGACAAGGTCAGTAATTCATGTTATGCATGCCACTTGAAGCTTTAATGTTTAACCAAAGTCTATTTGCCCCAGGTTCGTGTTGAGCTACAAGAATCTCCCATTCGTGACCCTCTGGGTCGAATACTCGGACATCCCCATCGCTACGAAGGCCATCGGTGCAAAGCCAAACAAACGCCGGGACGGCTCGGAAGTCTATACTGTCCCCGTTCTCAGCGATCCCAACACCGGTGCCCTCATCACGGACTCGTTCGAAATCGCATCCTACCTCGACAAGACATATCCCGAGAAGCCCATCTTCCCAAACAGTTCAGAACCTCTGATACGCGCGTTCGAACCCGCCTATTTAAGCCTCCTTCAACATGCTATCAAGTTTATCTTCGTGCGCGCCACAGAAATATTGAGTCCCGCCAGTGTAAAGTTCTTCATTAAAGCTCGTACGGTGGACGTCCCATTGCCTTGGGATGTGAATCCTGACGCAGACTGGGAGCTACTAGAGAAGGGGCATAATACTGTGTACGAATGGTACCAGAAAACTGATGGAAAGTGGATCATGGGCGACACTTTTTCGTATGCAGACATCATTGTTGCTTCTTGGCTGCTTTCGTACAAACGAGTGCTGAAGGCGGATGAGTGGCTCAGGGTCAGTTCTTGGAATGGGGGGAAATGGGCCCAAGTTCTTGCAAATGTCGAGAAGGAGTGTACATTATCTTAGGAGAAGACTTGCATGTATATAGGATCAATCGATTAAGGGGCATGGAAACGATAATGAATGCTTCATAAGTCGCCTCAGTTGAAGTCCTTTGGACCTCGCCTGCACATACGATGACAATGTGCACGTTATACAGCAATAAGTGCGTTAGGACACCGAAGTATCGATCAGCGCTCAGCTGTCACAAAACCAAGCACGTCCGATGAGGAAATTGCAGCAAGCCACGCATAAATTACCGCAAACGGCACCTTGACTAAACTTGAGTGACAAGCTCTCACACCAAAAATACTGTGTACTCCCTGTGTACTAATAAAATCCAGGACAGCTGAATGCCCCAAGAATTGGCAATTTCAGTGGAAATGTACCATTAACGTGGAGGGTTGGTTGTAATCTATAAAAAAAAATATGTTCGGCGAAATCCAGAGCATCTCACAGGTTACCAACTTGCAGGTGGATCTGGCTAGAGCAGGCCTCATGGAAAATGCTGGGAGTATATACTTTGATGTCGGACTTGGAGTGAACAAGTGACCATGGGCGGAGGCTTTGCCACGTCATATACATGTAGCGCACCAGGCTGGGCACACAGTATAGTGTGGCCGAGACAACGCATGAGCTGGCAAAATTTTGA